TATGCAATCGATCTCCTACTCGATTGATGGGAAGGGACGAGATTGGAGGGGAGGCAGCGGTGAAGGCAAGATGAGGGAGGGAGGACGCAGAGATACACCGAGCTAGCGCGCGTGAGCAGGCCGACCTGTCAGGACGGAATGCACACTTCTTGCGTTTCTCCACGCATCTCCTCCGCGTCCTCTACGTGTTCTCTCGATTGTTGCACCACGTCTCTCAAATGACTCTTATATCCTGTCAGATGCGTTCTCGTGTGCACCCCGACTGTAGGATCATGAGAGAGAGGGGGAGGACGTGGATCATCTCCCGGACCTGCACGCCAGTCAGCGTCAGGACCTTCAAATTCTCTGGCTTCCGCACGCTGCGCAAGCAGGCGAGCAGAGGCTTCGCGAGCACGCGCATGCGGTCCTGCGCGGCGATCAGAGGACGTAAGAGAGCGAGGATGGAGAAACGAAACATGGGAGAGGGTAAGATAATGAGGATGAGGGACAGAAGAATGAGGGCAGTAGGACAGGTGCCAGGAGGAGCGAGATTATGACGATCAGGGGGCAAACGACAAGACAAGACAAGAACACTTGCGAGCAAATAGTTCGATGCCTTGAAAGGTGAGCTTCAAAAACACAGCGTGAGTTGCTTGTTGCACTCGCCAGCGTCGCTGCTGGCCCTGAGATACTGGGCGCACGAACAGAGTCCGACACTCTAGGGCCGGAACCGCGCGCAAGCAAGGCAGCAACCTCCCCACCTGTGAAGATGGACCATATGAAGGATATCGAGTGGCCATATGGACGCTGTAAGATGGCCCCCAACAGCGGCTCTGCGGGGGGATTTCGCTGGCCTGAAGAGGGACAACACCCGTGGGGAGGAGCTTCCCGCGTGGCCCTCCAGATGCACCCCCATCCTCGGAGAGCTCCGGGTGCGAGTCAAGAGGTCGCAGTCCGACCAAGCCCTGCCTCACACTGTGCCTACGCAAACGCGTTGGAGGAAGTTGGAAGCGGAGAAAGCACGGGAACTGAGGACGGGGCCTCAACCGAGGAAAGGGTTCTGCTACTGGGACCCTCGGTGGGGCTCCCTATGGGACCACGACTCGTGTGAGGGGTGTGCCGAAATTGGCCGTGCGGACGCACGTGACCACTGACGCTGGGGCAGTCGGTTGGGCTCCAGATGGGTCCACGAAACGTGTGAGGTGTGCACCGGACTGGTCGATTGATGCGGAGAGCAGAAGTAGGAGGGGGAGGAGGAGGAGAGGAGGAGAGACGCGTTGACTGTGTCTTCAAACGAGGACCCAGCACCACAGGATGGTTTGGAAAGACATGCTCTACGCAGTCAGTCTCAGTTAGGGGGGAGGTGGAGCGAGTGAGGAAGGACTGTCAGACAGGACTGGGGAGAGGGAGAGGATAGTTGGCACGTTCGACATGTATAACGAAAGTGCTCGTGTGACGACGCTAGACGCATGCCGTCGTGACTGGAAGAGGAAGAAGAAGGAGCGCGGTCGAAAGTGGAATCGACGCATTGTCATACAAGGAACATGCCTTAAAACAAGGACCTGACACCCATCCCACTTGCCAAAGAACTTTGAAACTCCTGGGTATACCCAGGCGGACCCCCCTCCAAAACCTATCGTGCGCATCTGCCCCACCCCTTCCGACCCAAACACCCTCGACGGCAGGGCTGCTTCAGAGTCACGAGGCTTGGGAGCCGAGCTGTGCTGCTTCTTTGGGCGTCCTGGCGCGAGGCCCGCTGCTCGCTGAAGTCGCGGTGGTGGATCCAGAAGCACTGCAGCTCCGGGAGGCCCGAGTCGGGCAGCTCCAGGGCGCCCCGCTTACTCTCGGGCCCCAGGAAGGAGGCCAGGCACACCGCCAGGTGCCTGCGGGCAGCTCCCCTCCCAGCGCGCGCCCCTCTCCCAGACAGCTCACTAGCTGGGACATGCACAAAGCGCCGCCTCCAGAAAACAGCTAGATCCGCTTCGGACCAGCACTGGCCATCCAGATGAAAAGCTGTCCGCAACCACATGCGAACAGATGACGCAACACTCGGCCGAGTAAGTCGGCACACATACGCTCGGACCTCTCGACGTCTGCCTGCTGGGCGTCGGCCAGCCGCAGGCAAGAGAAGACCACGTGGGTACACTTTCATTGCATATGTGTACATACTCGCCGCATACCCTGAGGGTGATGAGAAGTTCGGCAGGTATTGGCATCATCGTTGGTTTGCTGTGAACGCGCAATTCAACTGACAAGTGGACACACACGCATCGGGACATCACGATGAGCTTTCGTCCATATATATATATATATATAGATATGTACACATGTCCGCATATAGATCTAGCTCGTCACACGTTTCCCGTATCATTTCTAGATCATGGGTGAGTGCCAACAGTGATGTGGCGTATTACTTCTTGCTCAAAGCGGCACGACCAATAGAGTTCACGTCCCGCGATGCCCGGAGAATCTACAGGCGCTAGCAGAGCCTCCATCGCGCCACTCCTCTCCTCATAACATCAAGACGGGTCGTGCATCTCGAGCCAAGCGGAAGCATCAGGCATCGCCTCGGCGGTCGCGAGGGCGATGGCAGAGCCCGGCGCCGAGCACGGCGCCACTGCTGCAGGGCCTGGCCCATGCGGGTTGGCCCGCCAGGAGTCGCGAGCCTGTCCCGGATGCGCTCCCCGACAGCAGGGGCCCTGCACCACGGAACGCGACGAATCTCCATCGGGACAACCATCTCCGTTAAGCCAATCATCGCGACAACCACCTTCATCGGGACAACAACCAGGGCAACAAACAACCATCGGGACAGCCACCGGGACAACATGGGACAGCCGTCGGGACCACCTGGGGGCAACTGGGAGCCTTCGAACAGACACGAGGTGCGAGACACTTGATGACCTCTCCATCAATCCTTCTCCTGCTCCTCTCGGCGGCGAGCCAGGGAGGGGGGAGTGAGGAGGAGGCCTTCTCAGAAGGCGGCGGGGTTTGACAGACAGAAGCCCTCCGCCCTTCTGACACGTTTCTGCGTCGTCGGGGAGGCTTGGAAAACACTTCTCACTCAGAAAGCTGGGAGCCTTCCAAGTCTTCTGAGAACCCCCCTCTCACTTCCCCCCTCGGCTCACCGCCGATCCTCGTCCTCCTTCTGCAATCCTTGCGTATCCTCCCGTCTTCGAAGCCATTCCGCTCCCCAATCCTCCTCCCAAGATCGATCTGAATCCCCGACGCCCCCCCGTCCACGATTACTCAATACTCCAATCGTCAAGAGTCCTGCCCCCATCGTTGATCCCACTCCCATCCTCAATCCCCCTCCAATTGTTCTACTGGCTTACTCGGCTCACGTTCCCCCTCCTGTCCGCCCTCGGGCCTGCCGCAGAATCTCAGGGCGGCGGTCAAGACGTCCGTGGACCTCAGGTTGGTGAGGATCAGCTCCCGCAGAGGGGCGTTCCCGAAAGTTTGTACAAAGTTCACCTCGGCGGTGGACAAATCTCCCTTTAGTAGACCTCCCCTTAGCGAAAACGGCCTGGGACCGAAACCGACGGACCTGGACCCGCAAAAATGACGGCCGCGAGGCCCTCTCGCGAAACGAAAACGGCCAATTCCTTAATCGACGTGTCAGGGTAGGAGGGCTGTCCACCCCCGATCACCAGCAAGGGTGACACCGTCAGCCACCGCTCCCTGCATATCGCCGAGCGCTCGGCGGGGAAAACGACAGAGAGGGCCGACAGGGAAGACAGCTGCAGCTCCGGCGCAGACGCTCCGGACCCCTCGTGCTCCAGCCAGGGGTTCCACAGCGCCTCCAGCAGGTGCACCCAGCCATGCCCGCCCAGGTCCATGAACACAGTCTGCACCGCCGGCCAGTACAGCCTCGCGACCACAGTCTGGGCCATCTGCGGCGGCAGATCCGAAGCCATGCTTCTCAGGTGGTAGACCTTGGCTGGCCGAGATATCCAGGATCGCCCTGACCCCGACTCAGCTGCAAGAACAAACGGTCCCTTGCTGTATCTTCCTGTCGCTGTTGCTCGCTCCTCCTTCTTCTCCTGCTGCTGATCGTTCCTCCCCGTGTTGCTCCCTCCTCCCTCCTCCTCCTCCTCTTCATCAGGCTCCTCCCTCCATCCTCCTGCTCCTCCTCGTTCCTTACGTAATCCTCCATCCATCCTCCTGGAAGCTTGAAAGCTGGTCTGAAGATCCATCAATCCTCCTCCTTCGCCTCCTCCTTCTCCTCCTCCCCGCTCCTCCACTGTCACTGCCTGAACAGGCATCACCACTGCCACTCCTCGACATCTCCTCCTCCTCCTCCTCCTCCCCCTCCTCCTCATGATCCTTCTCCCGTCCACCTCTCCCCTCCCCGCCCCTCCACGCCCCGGGGCAGATCTGCGCAGGCCCCACCCGCCACCAAAAACGGGGGGCAGAGGCCGGGCACTGCGCGGCGGGCTCTTGACAACGACTCGGGCCCGAGCCGCCCGTGCGAGCCGCGGGGCGCCCCCCCGGGGGCAGGGGCAGGCCCCCTGGGGAGGGCGGGGGCCCTCAGCCTCGGACGCCCGCGCCCGCGCTGCTGGCCGTGCCGGGACGAGTGTGAACCCGCCGCGCGCCGCTCGGCGGGCGTGAGCCCGCCGGTCGCCGCGGCCCTTCTCGTCGGAAAGACTCGGGAGGACTGGGCTCCATTTGGGAGCTGTTACGCCGGAGTGGGCCTCGGATTACGCGGGGTTAGGCCAGATGGAGCGGGACTCAGCGGGATCCAGAGCCGGATATGGAGCCTGACCTCGGACCAAGGCTAACTCAGCATCTGACCTCCCGGGCGCTGCATCCCAACCGTGCAGAGGCTTTCGGCACAGCCCGCGCACCCGTCGGCGGGCGCCCGGGTCGCAGAGGCAGCACGACGCGGAGAGCACGGCCGGCGACGCCGCGAAGAGCCTCGCGGCCTCCGCCGCGCCGAGGCACGGCAGGATCAGGTCCGCCAGCGCCCGGCCGAGGGGCGACTGCGACACGGCCCGGCGGCGGAGCTCCCGCGAGGAGGCCTCGACCCCTCCACGCCCCCGCCCCCCTGCATCCCCCCCAGCCATCCTCCTCCTCCCCTGCCCCCCATCCATCCTCCCCCTCCTCCTCGTCCTCCTCCTCCTCCTCCTCCTCTTCTTCCTCCTCCTCCTCATCCTCCCTCCTCCTCCTCTTCGCCCCCGTCCCTGCACATCCGTTTTTTCTCTCCTCAACATGAACAGATCAAAATGAGGGGGCCGAACGGTCTTTCACCGTCCCTGGGTGCGTGGGTGTAGAGGGATCCCGTGGCCTGGACTCTGCCTGTTCGTTGTTGCTTCTTGTTTCTAATTGTTGTCGTCCTCGCCTTCTGTTTCTAATTGTTGTTTCTTGCTTATAGGTGCTGCTTCTTGTTTCTAACTTCTGCGTTTCTATTGTTGTCGTCCTCACCCGCGACCCAGCCGCGAACCCACCCGCGACCCGCCCACGACTTCACCCACGTTGCTTTGACGAACAAATCAGCGCCGGCGGCGGCCTCGTCCTGCAAACTGCTGCAAAAGAGAACCAACGTCTGCGGCGGACTTCCTCAGAACCTTGCAGACTGCCGACGATCAAACCGCCCCCTCAATCTTATCCCCAATTTTGTGGTGTTATGTGCTCTCACTCTGCCACCTAGCCGGCCGCTAGCTGGCCAATCTGGGTCCCCCATATTGCCAGTCAAAACAATACAGCACGTCAACTTACGCTTGTCCGCTCAACATAGACGTTGCCTTCCATGTTGCAGCATGCTTGGCAGGAATGGGTCGGGGCGCCCATCGCATGCGAGATGGCGAAACATCGCTCTCGCCTGGGCGCCGAGTTTCTGTTCGGGCGCGACGCGCTCGTCGACAGCGTGGTTGCGTGAAAGCGGGCGACATGTCGCTCTCGCCGCGGCATCGCGCAAATTTCGCCCAAAGTTGAACTCCCGCTCAGGAGCGGCGCATGTTTTTCACTGGTCACGTCGTTGGGGGACGGTCCGCGCGCGAGCGAGCGAATTGTTGCCCTCGATCGATCTCCAATCAACTTTCCAGCTCTGTGGCGCGGCGCATGTTGTCGCTCGCCGAATCGCGGGACATCGGCAGCGGCTGCGCGGCGCGCGCTTCGTCTTGGCGGAGCTCATCTGGAAATTCGTCGCGCGAAGAATGCCTAAATGTGCCGCAGCGCCGCGAAATTTATGTGCTGGAAACGTGGATCGCGCCGCATGCGCCGCCCGTGCTTGGTGAATGTCGGAAACGGGACCTTGCGCGAACCACTTCCGATCCTCTCGCTCGGGGGGGAACGCGGCCCGGTACCAATATCAAAAGCTGCGCCGCCATTGTCTCTTCTGCTGAGGGAGGAAGGGTTGGAGTGGGCGGAGGCCGCTGTCTCGCTCGACCTGGCTGGCTTGACACACAGTTTTCCACGGTTCCTGCTCCATCCTCCTCCTCCTCCTCCTCCTCCTCCTCCTCCTCCTCCTCCTCCCCTCCCCCTCCTCATCCTACACCCTCCCCCTCCCCATCTCCTCCCCTCCTCCTCCTCCTCCTCCTCCTCCTCCTCCTCCTCCTCCATCCTCCTCCTCCTCCTCCGCATCCTCTCCTCGTCTCTTCCTCGTGGCTTCGGTGACATTGGCGCACTCGCGCTGGCAGTGCTTCCCCGAACAGCTTGTCTGTGAGGGTTCTGCAGACATGCGGTGAGAAGAGAGTCGGCCGACTGCCAGATCCAGACTCGGTCGGGCGACAAGCCGACCCGTAGCCTTCCGTGTGGTCTCCCGCATGTTCTGCCGCACGGTCTCCCGCACGGTCTCCAATCGTATGGTCGCCCACCTGGTCTACTGTATGGTCTCATGTGCTCCAGATTTTGTAAGAAAGGGAGGGGGGTCTCATTTCGGGGGGGGGGGTCTCTTCCAGGCTATCTTGGAGGGCCTGGGGGGGTCTGGGGACGATGTTTTGGAGGGTTCTCCCACGGGGGAGGTCTGGAATGGCTTGCCTTGGAGGATCCAGACCCCCTCCCTTTTATTACGAAGTCTGGAGTATGGTCTCATGTATGGTCTCTGGTATGGTCTACCCTATGGTCTCCCTTCTGGTCTCCCGTACGGTCTTCCGTGTGATGTCCCGTGTGGTATCCCATTTGACCTCCAGCATAATCTCCCGTACTTACAAAGTCGGACGCACGGTGGCATGGTCTCCCGCGTGGTCTCCCGTATGCATTTGGGCGTGCTCTGCCGCATGGTCTCCCGAATGGTCTCCCGCATGTGCAAAGAAACTTATAGCGCAAGCGTTACCATTTGATAGTGCTGCTTAAAACAGATTTTGCCGTCAGGTTGTCCGCCGCCCGCCTCTCACCGGGGGTGAAATGGCGTGTGAGACAATTCGCTGTGTAATTGCACACTCTGAATACGACTCTGGCTTTTTAGACGCAGGAGTCCCAGGAAACGGTTTTTGCCTGATGTTTCAAAATGCTGCTCTCGCGGAGTCGCTGGCCCCACTTTCCGACGACCGCTCGTTCCGCATCGTGTTCCCATTGCAACGCTGGTCTCATTTCCGCGCTTCCGCTCGTCCCGAATCGTGCTCCCGCTGCTGCGCTTGCGTCATTACTTCCAGTGCCATGCCACTGCACGATTTTCGGTCCATCTAAATCGGCCGCGAAATCTAGAAGATGGCCTCCCGAACAAAAAACAATCGGAAGTGATCACACATTCGTGTCGAATCGTTGATTTTTGGGGCCGCAGAATCCTTGTCCCACTTTGGGGCGTCGCCACGTAATGCTATGTCATGCTACGCGCTGATATTCAACACCATGCTATGCCCTGTAATGCTATGCCACGTTGCGACATCAAATTGTGCGAGTAAAAGGGGGAATCGACGCCATGCTAAAGGATGAGGGGGAGGGGGATGACGTCAGATCTGCCACGAGCGTACTTAGTTTGCCCCCCCTCCCCCTCTCCCCCTACCCTGGGGTCCAAACTGCCACTTGGAGGGGGGGCGAGCTCGCCAACGCACCCCGGAGGCCTCCAGCATATTATATGCTTCGTTCCCCAAACAATGCTTGCACTGAGGGGGTCTTACTTGTCTTAACCATCTGCGGACCAGTGCCGGTTTTTCGTTGCCGTGCCGCCCGTCGCCGCCCGTCGCCGCCTTGCTTTGCTATGCTTTACTTTACTGCTGCCGCGCCTGCTACGAAGTCACCCAAAACCCCCTGCCGGACCTCTTCAAAGGAAGGACACTCCAATCTTCTAAGAAATACTGCATGTTGCTTGCTGCTATATGGACATCCGCCTGTGCACAGGTAGCCCATTCATGCAGATGCTGCCCTGCTGTGCGCGCTCCACAAAATACTGCGCGACATCGTCTCTACCGCCAAGCTGTTAGCCTGCGCGTTCTTGTTAAGGCTCGCTGGAACAATTCCCACCAGAGCTCCTGGGAAGCGATAGCGGATGCTTGTGGAACTTCCTGCCGAACAAGCGCCTGGAACCTCTGATCGATGCAATCCGAGACGATTGACTGGGCAATCTGTCGAGGCGGCGCGCCTGGCAAACTGCGCGGGCACCCGCGGGGATCTTCGAAAAGTGCGAGAGGGCGAGCATGCAAGTCTCCAGCGCAGAGCCATGTCAAACGCACGTTGATTGAACCCCTTGTTCGCCCAAGCCATGTTTGCGCTTTGGCGGTGCGAATCTGTGCCCGTACTTCTCGAATTGCCTCGGTGAGCGCTTTAGGGGTTAGGGCGTCGGCACGTTAGATCCTTTAACGCATTGGAGAGGCGGCGTTCCACCATTCCGCTGCACGCCGCCGCATGCCCGCCGCTGCCAGGTGGAGAGGGCCCTTCTCCACCGCGGCGACTGGCGCCCAGAGGTCTGACCGGGCGCGCTTCTAGTGCCAGAGAGAAGCTGCATCTTGAAGGGGTCTGGGCGCGCGCACTTCGCCCGGCGCAGAAACCGTCGCAACTCCGCAATGGATCGTCGGACGCACACCCGCCAAGAATAACCTGCCCTTCATCTGCTTGGTCGCAGCGCCCTGTGCCCTTCACCATGTGAAGCCCAAGCGACATAGCTGCGGGCGCGAGGGGGAGGCGTTCGCGAACCGCTCAAGCCAGGCTTCTTTGCACGCTTCCCAGCTAGAAAATCGATCCCAAGTTTTCGGCCGCCCATGAATTGGTTCCCGCTAGTACCCGAAGTGCTGCTCTGGCTTTGTCGGCTACTTTCTTGGCGCAGCTGCCTGCCATGTCTACTCTGGGCAATGCTAGCTTCATCGGGACATCGTCTAACTCCTGCCTCGAACGGCACGCGCGCAGAAAAAGGCCATCCAGAGCCCCGTTGAAGGATCCACCCGAGCAGGAGAGGGCGAGGTCGTCGATGGGCAGGGGGTCGGCGCAGCCAGGCGACTGAACTACATCCGCCACTGGAATGAGAGAGGCCTTCGCCCCGCAGTCCCGGGGGCTGCCGCCCGCAGCGATTCCCCCCCCAGAGCGCACCTGTCCTGAGACAGCCCCGTCGAGGAGATCCCTGCGAGGCCAGCAGCGCATGATAATGGGGTCGGTGAGCGCAGATTCCAAGATGCTGCCGCGTGGTGCCCTGCGCGCGCAGCTGCTTCCCCGCGGACTGCCTGCCCCCAAACCGCATCCTTCGGGCCCCGGCTCTGACTCGCGCCGCGCCCGTGCCCCAGCCCGCGCCGCCCCCTCCCGCTCCGCGCGCTTCTCGCCGTGAAATCGCCGTGGGCTCGCGCCGTGGCTGGCCAGCAAAACCCGTGCACCTTCGCCCCCTTCCTTGTGTTTCAGCGCAAGCAATGGCTGGGGTGAGCAGACTTGACGCGGGAGGGCCCCCCCTGGCATATCCATGAAGGAGACGGGGCCTAGTGCTTCCAAGCGCGCGCCCACGCCCGACCAAGCGAGAGCGATGCCCATCTTGCCGGCGGGCGCGCCCCTCGAATGCCGCTGCTACTCTGCGAATCGCTGTTGGAGGACCGAGGCCTGCAATATCAGTGAAGGACGACTACTCTTCTTGAGGGGGAGGCTTTACAACGTGTAAGAGCAACTT